GCTAACTCCTCTTATAATGATCACGGTCCTTGGGTACCAATAACTGAACTGACTTGTACAAAGTCAAGCATTTAGTCACTAAGACTATAGGTCAGGTCTCCCAATGGTCAGGAGATAGAGCCTCTTGGCAAAATAAAGACGAGAAGAAAACAAGCTACAAAATGACCTGCAGTTGGAACCCATCACCGCTGCAAAGTTCATGTATGGTAAGAGTTAAGTAAAAACTTGCAGGCTCACGAAACACTTTCTAAACAAGAACCAGAGCTGAGGTTGCAAACTGGTAGTGGAATATGGCCTGCAGACACAGCTGGCTTGGCAGCAAGTACTTGCTCTCACACTGAGTTGGGCCTGTGATTTTAAAAAGCGAGCCAGGGGTACGAAGGGGTTTAAAAAATTTTTTTTGAAAACTGGAATTAAAAGATAATGGAATTTCTCCCCATTTTTGGCCTCAAATTTTGCATGAAATCTTGACTTCTGGCTTTTCTTGAAATTTTCCAAATGACTGACAAGATGAAATTCACACCGCCAGCCCCATCAATCAACCAGAGGTGAGCAAGTGTTGCCCTAGCTCCTAACACCTCCGATGCTCCCAGGCCAAGGACCAGTCCCTGCTGGCAGTGAAGGATGTTGCCTCTGCTGGACTCAACACACTGAGAACCTTTTAAACTTTCAACAGAGTATGACTTGGCTCTGGTGTCCTCCTGTTGCGGAGGACTTTGCCTCTGTTGTAGGTCTGTGACTTAGGAGACCCTCTGTGTTACAGAGCCACACCGAGTTCTTGGCAGTCATCTCGACAGAAGCAGATGGCCAGCTCTCTCTTTCAGGGCACGGCTGGGTGGGTTCGAACAGACCACCTTTGGGGTCCCGTTTGTGCCACCAATGACCATTTTTCTTAGGACAACCGTGCCATAGTCCTGACTGCAGGGAAAATTTATTTGTCCAGCTAAAGCTTTTTAGTCCATATGCATTTGGAGATAGAGTATGCGATGAGAAATTTTCAGAGAAGACAAAGAAAAAGTAGTTAGCATATTACCGTCTAAGTGGGCAGTGAGAGTGTTTTCTGCATTTCCCACAGCTGTGGCGAAAGAACGTGGCCTACACTAAACCACACAGCCAGGCTGGGGCACCAACATGCAGACTTTATTTCTCCTCCTATAAGCACACGCTCCACTGGTGGAGGCCTGACATACAGGGGTGCAGGCGGGGGTGCACAAAAACCAACTACTCACTACCACCGAGTCAAGGCTGACTCTTAACCCTACAGGGCAGGGTAGAACTGCCCGAGTCTCTGAGACTCTCCCCTGACGGGAGTAGTAAGCTGAGTCTTTCTTCCCAGCAGTGGCTGCTAGCTTCGCAGGATGTGCAAACTTCTCAATGGTGGACTGCTGGGAACGGACGCAACAATCATGTGGAGGAAAGCCTGGCTTGGACGCAGACCCTTTCTTGAAGGGTGACCTGTCCTGTCAAAGGGGCTGGCCTTTCCCGAAGTGACCCTCACCTACGGGGAAAGCAGTATCTGACAGTGCATCCATTTGTTTGGCAAATGGAGCACGAGCGGCCCAGAGCTGTGATGAAATCTCCAGAAGTACTAGGTTTGTGTGTTGTTGTTGTTTATCTAATCTTCCGCCCCTGCAAGCCCTACAATACTCCTCCAAATGAGTTGTTATACCAAGTCTGTGTGTCATCATCTCGGGACGTTCCCGTCAGAGGCCCATCTGGACACTCATCCATACAGATGGTTTTGTTCTGGTGTCAAATCTCAGTTCTGATTTGGAGTCTTCAAAGTTAGTACCTCAGATTTAAAATCCCTATTTACCGAGAAGGAATAAGGTTGTGCGCCTTTGGGAGGTAGGCTCATGAATTAGCCCATTACTTAACCTTTCTACAAATGAGTCTCCTCATCTGAAAACAAAAAACAACTCACTGCCATCAGGTGGATTCCGACTCACTGAAACCCTACTAAGACAGGGTAGAACTTTTTAAAGTTTCCGAGGTACACTCTGTATGGGGGAGAAACCTTGTCTTTCTACCCATTTGAAAAAATAACTGAAAGCTGACCCATGGCAAGAAGCTGAAATACACAACACCCAATATATTCCACGTGGCCTCCCTTCTTTTTTCATGGAATGGTAGAAGCCACAGGTCCCTAAAGAGTTAAACAATCCATTCCTCCCCCCACCCCCTCCCCTCAGACTAATAGTGGCAGTAGCAAGCAGTTCCCAAGAACTGGGCTTGGGCACTCAAAGCAGCTAGTCTATGAGGGTTCTGAAAGCAGGCGGAGACAGACCAGGCAACCCTGTTGTCTCTGACTGCCATCAAGTCAGTTCCGACTCATGGCCACCTTGCGGGTTTTACCAAGACTGTCTTTATAGGACCACAAAGACTCATCTTTCTATGGACAACGAGCAGTTTCCAGCTGCTGGCCTTACATGTAACAGCCCAACACAGGCCCTCTGCGCCGCCAGGCCTTCCCCATGTATTACTTAGAACCATTCCATAAAATGTCCCTGGCTGTTATCTTTATGGAAGCAGATTCCCAGGGCTCTCTCTCTTCCATGGTTCCACTGAGTGGGTTCAAACTGCCTACCTTTAGGCTGGCGGAGCACAAACCATTTGTACCACCCAGAAACTTTACCTGAAAGGAACTCCCTAGGAGCCTCAAACTGAAATCCTAAAGACTAGGCACAGAAGCCTGCTTCATGTTCATTCTGCCACACGTGTTATCATTCTCAATGGTCTCTCACCACTCCCAACTACTAGACCTTGGTTGTTTGCTGAGCTTCTGTATATCATCCAAGTCTGAAACCAACCACACTACATGGCTGTGGTGCCCTATCCACACTTTGGATTCTTGGTCAACTAAAGTTGAGGCACACACAATGAAGCCCCCCC